GAATACAGACCTAATGTTGGACTCTTTTTAAAGAAGACAATCAGCTAATTATTGCAGAAGTGGAATTATTTCAAAATATGAAAGTATCAAAAAAGTAAAAATTTACTGTAAAGAAAATGCACTGTACTATTTTTTTATTTTATATAAAATATTTTTTTCATTTACTCTAAAATTGCTATAAAATTAAAGCTTTATGTCTAAGTAAGTTGTGTTCCAAATTTGAAGTTGAGATTAAAAAAAATTGAGATTTTATTCAGGGCGTTATACCACAAACAGCCACCGGGTGACACCCAAACTCCATTGAATTTTTAAAATGCATTATTCTGTCACAAATGTGTACATTTCTGTCACTATCACAAAATAAACACCAAATATGGAATCTCGAGACTCAGAACTTTCCAATGATATGTTCAAATGATATATAATTTATGATGATTATTAAAATATGTGACAGCAGAAAAAAGAGTGCTATAGGTGGACGGCGACAGTTAAAGAATTAAAGAGTTTTTCTCTTACAAACAGCAAACTTTAGTTTTATTCCTCTCTATATTCTGAAGGTTTGTTCATATTTCATTCACACTGATTTACTGCTGAAAACAGTTTGTTTCTGTCTGCTGACAGTATTTTCTGATTTATGATAAAAAGAGAAATCCCAGAATCCCCTCTGAAAAAACCTTTAACTCTAATATGACGACAAAATCAGACTGAACTGATGTTCAGATTTCCGTTCTGTAAATATATGCAAATTAGTGCATGTTTAATTAAATCATGCCTTTGTGCATGTTTAAACATAATAATCAGCACTGTTTTAACCGTATTCACCGGCAGTGTCTAAATCAGACATCATAGAGGCTCATTTCAGTGAAATAACATCTTGATTTCAGATCAACAGAAGTGCGTGACTGACCCGGTGGGTAGAGGAACGCGTGCGTGACATCGGGCTCCTGGTTGTACGTGTTACATGTGTGTGTGTGATCGAGACGAGGGTCTGCTCTCACACACTCGCTGGACGACACGGCTGGAGCCTCCACCTGCACACACACACACACACACACAGGTTTACATTTGTGAAAAGTGGGGACTCTCCATAGGCGTAATGGTTTTTATACTGTACAGACCGTATATTCTATTGCCCTACACCAACCCTACCCCTAAACCTACCCCTCACAGGAGACTTTCTGCTATTTCAGATTTTCAATACACTCCATTCTGTGTGATTTATAAGCGTTTTGAAAAGTGGGGACATGGGGTAATGTCCTGAAAAGTCACCTTCTCCTTGTAATACCTATGTCATACCTTTGTCATTATACAAATTTATGTCCTCATTTGTCACAAAAACGCACACACACAAAGACAAACACACAAAGACAAGCAAGCACACACACACACACACACACACACACTCACACACACGCACATACACACACACACACTCACACACACACACTCACACAC